ATGACAATATCATCAACGTACACAATTAAATAAACATGTTTGCCAGGGGCAGTGTGACAATAAAACACTGAATGATCTGCTTCGCTGCGTTTTAATCCAAAAGCTTGAACAATAGAGCTGAATTTTCCAAACCAAGCACGTGGAGACTGCTTTAGGCCATAGAGGGATCAACGTAATTTTCAAACCAAACCAGACTCCCCCTGAGCAACAAAGCCAGGAGGTTGCTCCATGTAAACTTCTTCTTCTAAGTCACCGTGCAAAAAAGCATTTTTAATATCCAATTGATGAAGAGGCCAATGACGAATGGCGGCCATGGCAAGGAACAGGCGGACAATGGTCATTTTGGCTACTGGAGAAAAAGTATCACAATAATCAAGTCCATATATTTGAGAATACCCTTTAGCCACTAACCTGGCCTTAAGACGATCAACCTGACCATTGGGCCCAACTTTAATAGCATAGATCCAACGACAACCAACTGTTTTCTTTCTCGAAGGGAGAGGAACAAGCTCCCATGTTTTGCTGTGATCAAGAGCCTGCATTTCAGAAATCATGGCTTGTCGCCATCCAGGATGATCAAGCGCTTCAACCACATTTTTGGGAATTGTAATAGAGGATACAGAGGAAATAAAAGAACAATAGGAAGGAGACAATCTAGGATAACTAAGAAAATTGTAAATGGGATGAGGATTACGAGTAGAACGAGTACCTTTGCGAATGACAATGGGCCAACTGGAGTCATTGTTATTAGGAGCCGTGGTATTAGAGGATGATGGTGAAGGACCTGTTATGGATGACTCATCTTGGGGAATGGGATTGTTCACCTGGTTCCTGCGTTGATAGGTGATGATAGGCTATCATGATGATTCTAGAGTATTTTGGTTGGGATTTGGGGTGTTAGGAATATGAGGTACAACTGATTCAACTAAGGGAACAAGAAAAACATTTTGGACAAAATCAATATCCTGCATAGAATAAGGGAAGAAGGATGATGATTCAAAAAATGTGACATTAGCAGACATGTAGTACCTCTTGGTTTCAGGAGAATAACACCAATATCCTTTTTGAAGACGAGAATACCCCAAGAAGACACATTTGATAGCTCTAGGTAAGAGTTTATCTAAGCCAGGAGACATGTCATGAACAAAACATATACATCCAAATACCCTAGGAGAAACATGAAAAATTGGTTCCTTTGGAAATAGAATAGAGTGTGGAACTTTATTATCAAGAGAAGAAGATGTCATTCTATTAATGAGAAAGCATGCAGTTAGAATAACATCTCCCCAATGATGAATAGGCATATTGGCACCCAGCAATAAGGTACGAGCAGTTTCAACCAAATGTCTATTTTTTCGTTCTGCTATACCATTTTGCTGTGGTGTGTGAGGACACGTGGACTGGTGTAAAATGCCTTGAGAATTTAGGACATTAGAAAAATCATTAGAAAAGTACTCTTTGACATTATCACTTCGTAAAACTTTGATTACTTTTCCAAATTGAGTTTTGATTTCATTAAGGAAAGACTTAAGATAGGCAATAGTTCAGAACGATCTTTCATAAGATAAACCCAAGTACATCTAGAAAATCCATCAATAAAAGTAACAAAATATCTAAAACCAAAAGATGAAACACGACTAGGTTCCCATATATCTGAATGAACAATACTAAAAGCAGAATCACATCTAGATTCAGAATGATTTGGAAAGGATGACCTGGTATGTTTCCCTAGTTGACAGGATTCACATTCAAAAGTTTGAAGGTTCTGAAGTTCAGGAACCATTTTTTTCAATTTTGCTAAATGAGGATGCCCTAATCGCTCATGTAACAATTTAGGGGATAAGGATGCAACACAAGATAAAGATGACTTAGTCCTAAGGTAGTATAAGCCTCCAGATTCATGTCCTTCTCTAATCAGTCGACCCGTACCACGTTCCTGGATAACAAAACAATTGGAATTAAAGGTTACTGAGCAATTCAATGATTTGGTTAATTGGCTTACAGAAACAAGACTGAATGGAAAAGAAGGAACACAAAGAACATTTTGAAGGTTTAAAGAAGAAGAGATGGATACTTGACCAATTCCTTTAGAGGCTACTTTAGATCCATTAGCTAAAGATATGAGATGGGATGTTTTAGGAAATGAAAGAGAGGAGAATAAAGAGGTATTACCAGACATGTGGTCAGAAGCACTTGAGTCAATAATCCACGGATTTTGACTTTCCACAGATTGCGAAATGCAAGCGTTTGACGAATTTGGTGTTGTAGATGCTTGAGCCAAATTGGTTGATTTCATCCTTAAATATTCTTGATACTCTTCATGAGAGAACTTGGACTCATGAACTTCAGATTCTGAGGTATTAGCTGCCTTATCAGGAAAGCCGTGCAGAGCAAAGCAATTTTTCTTAGTATGTCCCATTCTTTTGCAATGAGAGCACTGAGGACGTCCTTTCCCACCACGTCCTCTAGAGCTGTGTTTACCTCTTCCACGAGCAGAAATCATGGCGGAAGAATAAGTTCCTGACTGTTTTTGCTTTTGATAGAAGGAACACGAAGTAGCCTTGTGATTAAACTCTCCGTAGAAGGAACTTCTTCTTCAGTTAGAATCTGGTCTCTAACATGATTAAACTCTGGATTCATAGCCCTAAGAATCATTACCATATAGAATTTATCCAGCTTCGTCTTTCTTTCTTCTAATGATTCTGCCTCCAGGAACATTTTTAATTCTTCAACAGTTGACTGAGCTTCAGCAACAAAGGACATCATGGAATTATCCTCTTGCTTAAGGGAGGCTAGTCTATTAGCAGAATCATAAAGTCGTTGAATATCATTAGCAAAGATATTTTGGGTCTTTTTCCAAAAAGAATTACATGTCTTGAAGGCTCGAAGAGTACTTCCATCTTCTGGTTTAGTACTTCCATCTTCTTCTAGATGATCATGAACTCCTTGACCTAGAAACCAGAGCTCAACAGAGGAAGCCCAAGACAAATAATTTTTCCCATTTAATTTTTCTGTGGTTATAGTCGGAGTCCCAGAAAAAGATACAGACACAGGTCCTGACATTTTCTAGGAAACAAGAAAGGACCAGCGTGCTGTCAGAGAGAGGACCGAGAGAGGCAGAGAGAAAAAAACGCAGACCCAACACGTTTTGTGACCGAGAACACAAAACAAAGTGCAGATCTGTCACCAGGGCGACAAGGCGAGCCGGATAGAGGTGGCCTGGAGCAAAACAGCCACCGGGAGGGCGGCTCGTGAGGCTCACGCGCGGAGGAAGCCGCGGACGAGGGTGGCGCGTGGCGGCGCGTGAGGCAGAGACAGAGGAAACGAACACTGGGGTTGGGTCGTGCTCCTCGAGGCGAGCCAAACCCAAGTGTCAGAGAGAGAAAAGGCGCCGGAGAAGACAACACCGGCGGCGAATGGCGTCGGACGGCGATTAATGCCAAAAAAAAAAACAGAGACAGGCAGAGCGGGATGAACCCGCTCTGATACGAATTTGAAATAGAAAAAAGAAAATAAAGAACTGATTTTGAGAGCTTGAAATCATCTTCTTGTGTTCTCTTATTTATAGGAGATAAAAATACAGATTCAGAGATACAATTAATAGAGAGACATGATTAATCCTAGAGAAGATAAACAGATGCATTCTAGGAACTAGGTCTACAACTAATCTCATAAATGCCCAACAAGATATACTTAATCTAATAAATACTTCAACATTCCTAAACCTAAAAAGGGACTCTTGAAGATTGATTGGGGATATCTTTGACTCTATTTTATTTTATTTAGGCAATTTTTGACCCATTGGCTAAGGTTATGAAATGAAGATTTTTAGGAATAGAAGTGGACGAGAACAAAAAGGTATTACCATAAATATGATTAGAAGCACCTGAGGTATTTATCCATGGATTTTAACTTCACGAATTGTGAAATGTAAGTTGTTGACGAGTTGAGATTTGTAGATGATTTTGCTAAGCAAACCTCAATTATTCTTGATATTCTTGATATGAGAACTTTGACTCAACAACCTCAAATTTGAAAATATTAGCTGCCTGATCAAGAAAAATATGCATGTAAAGAGTAGAATTTTTTTGGGTATGACACATTCTTTTACCATATTTGCATTAAGGGCATCCTCCTCTTCCACATGTAGATACCAATACTGATGATTTAATAGACTCTTGAACATTTCTACTCTTAAGAGTTGGAACATGAAGTAGTTGTGTTGTCAAGTTTTCCGTGATCGGATTTTCATGACCAATTAAAATTTGATCCCTAACATGATCAAAATCTGGATTCATGGTGCAAAGGATCATAACCTTATAAAATTTGTCTAATTTTTTCTTTATCTTTTCCAATGAGCCAGCTTCCCAGAACATCTTAAATTCTTTAACAATTGATTAAGCTTTAGCCATAAAAGATATCATGTCCTGATGTGTTTGGTTGAGAGAGGCTAGTCTATTAGCATAGTCATAAAGGCTATTCTATTAGCAAAAGTGTTTGAGCCTTTTTCCGAAATAAGTTGCAAGTTTTGATGATCTAAGAGTACCTAGTATTTTGGGTCCCATAGACTGCCACAATAAAGCGCAGTTGAAAATAAAGTTTCTTCCACTGTTCAACTTTGTTAGATGGTACTTTACTTCCATTTTCTTCCAAGTGATTATGGAAGCCTTAACCAAAGTTCAATTGATGTAGACAGAGACAGATATTTTTTTTCCATTTAGTTCGTGATGGTAGGAGTTCTCGAAAAGGAGGTAGCTGGTCCAGATGACATACTGAGAAAGGAGACAAACAATAACCAGAAAAACAACAACCAACAGATCAAGAGGGCAGCAGTACCTTATGTGTCATGACAACAGAACTTTACACTACCCACAGAAAAATAGAAGCAGTAGCACTCCACAACTATTGCCAGTAGTGTAAAACAGCCAACAAAGGAGGAGAGAGAGAGCTAGAAAGAGAGAGATAGAGCTCAAGAGAGTGAGAGATGAGAGATTTATCCCTCAACCAAACCTAGACATGGAGAATAGAGTGTCAGAACTTGAATAGGGAGGTCCGACCAGCCTTATTGAAGCAGCATGGAGCTGCTCCGGGGACACATGTGCTGCAAGATCAACATGCACTAAAATGCAGCAAATAGAAAGCTGCACATGGAGAATCAGGGGTTGTGACCAAGGAGGTTGACTGTCGCATGGCGAGGCACACCAGATTCAGTGGTTGTCGGAGGAAATGGCGGCGGACAGTGGTGGCAGCAGACGATGTATGGGCGATGGTGGACAACCTACACTCATTGGGCAGGATAACTAGAGCAGATGATCCCGCTTTGATACCAACTTAAGATAAATAATAAAGGGAAGAAGTTTTTTGGAGAGCTTAATCAAGCCTCTTTCCTGATCTCTTATTTATAAGAAATCTAATTTACAATGGAAGAGAGAAAGGGTGATAAAACAAGCGAAGGTACATCTAGACCTGGGTACAAAAAAAACAGCTTTTTAATACAGCTCATCCTAAGCCTATTCTAACAACATGGATTAATTTTTCCAAGCTAATTATTAGGCCTATATACATGACTGTTTGTCGCCACTGCTAAATGAATTTCTATGTGGATGATAGGCACGTCCCCTTAGTTCTTCTGTTTTCTGAATTTCTTGGGTTAATTTTTGAGTTTTCTGACTTGTATTATAGAAATAGAAATTGAACTATTCTGTTTAATTTTTTATTTATATCAGAACCATCTTGTGCCCTGAGAAATGGTACTTTTTATTTGTTTTTAGTTGGTTGCTACATAAAAATTGGATTATGCTAATTGCAATTGAGTTAGAAACAGTTATCTGATGTCAACTTGCCTTGTGCCATTTTAAGAAAATATGGCTATAAAGATTTTTGGTCTGTTGATAGTTTGTGTTGGAAGTCCCACATCACCTATCTCATGTTATTTGGTATGGTTTAAATACATGTTAGACTACTCCACATATTGCCAAATAGTTTTATATTGGAACCTTAACATGGTATCAGAGTCAAAATCTAACATCTTTCCAGTTATTGACTTGGGCCAAAAGTTGCTCTTTCGTTGGGTCAAAAGTACCCTTTACCTGGTCCGGCAGGCTTCGTTGGAAAGAACGTGTTGGAAGTCCCATATTACCTACAGCATGTCATTTGATATGGTTTAAATACATATTAGGCTACTTTACATATTACCAATTGGTTTTATGTTGGAACCTTAACAATTTGTGTTTTGTTGTAATAAACCTTTTAATTGCTGCATTAATGGAGCTGTTAATACTCTTCTATGTTAAATTTCCCATACCATTTCAGTAAAGCATATGTCTGAAGATATTTGACTTGTTTATGGTTTGTTTTGTTATCCTATGTCTTTTTATTGTTCTATTCTGAAACTACTGATGAGCATAAACAATACCATGAGATAGAGATTGAACATTTGTTTGAACTTTGCAAAGTGTGTAATGCGTGGTCTCACTTGTTTTTGGTTTTAGGTTTAGGAGATTGACGGGTAGAAGTGAAGTTGCTATTTCAGCTAGTGATTACAAATTTTACTCGCCAAGACACAAGTATAGGCGTGGTGCATCGATTTCACTTTCAAATATCCCAGATATCCCTGTATGTGCTTCACTTTTGGCATATGAATTTCTTCCTTTAAGATGCATAATACATGCTGCAGTTTTGTGCACAATGTCTATATTTACTTCATTTTGGATGAGTTTTACTAGCATAGTGAATATGATGTGCTCTTGTCATCTGTTATCTGCATTTATTTTTTATATGCCTTGAGATATATTACAGGATGCATAAATTGTAGTTGCTGCAATTCCTTGTACCCAAACATTATCTAGTTTTTATACTATTGACTTTTGACCTTTTTACAGGGTTATCCTGGAGCAGAAACTTCTACTACATTGTCTACTTCTCAAGGATTTCGCTCAGTAAGTGATGTATATAAGTTATATTACTTTCATTGTTGGTTTGAGATAGAAACCTAGTTCCCTATCTCCAAGGCAAACTAATCTAAACTAACTATCTTTCTCAATTGTCATTAACAAACTAACACTCAGACATCTAAAATACTTCCCCCGCCCTCCTGAATGTTTCACCTGGTATTCAAGGTGAAGGGTTGTATAAAGGCCCTGAACATCTATTGACATGATTCCACAATGGTCGTGTTGCCTGAAGCATACAATTTGATGTCTCTTTTCCTCTTAGCAAGAGATGCAATAACAAGTTAACAACCACATAGGTTACCTTTTGAAGGACTGAAAAGCCCATGGAATTCTAGTTTTCTGAAAATCCAGCTCCTAAAAAATTTGGGGTCTGGTCAGGGAAATAAAAAACACTTTATGATTGATTCAAACATTTGGCTCAGAACATGGTGGTTGGAACTGGCCCATTTTCTCAAATATTTGACCAGCTTTCAATATTGCTGTGCTCCCCATCCAATCGCAATCAGAACCTGCACTTTTGTTCGGCACCATACCCACTTCTATCAACACTGTTCGAAAAGGCACAAAGTTCAGTGGTTCTTGCAATTCTAGTGGTGAAATCTTGGTCAGCATATGTAGAGTCTGTTTGTTAGCAGTGAATGTGAGTGGGAGAGGAAGAGAGTGGGGAAAGCGGTGCTTTGGGAGAATGGAAATGTGTTTAAACAAATGGTCGGACTCACAGTTACATTTTTGGCACAAATAGTTGAAGATATGCGTGGAAAGCGGTTATTGATGGCAACATAATTGATCATGTTCAACAAGATAATCCATTATGTTTCAATTTAAAAATTAAGTGATTTTTGAAGCCTAATAATGAATTATGGCCACCCATAATCAATTATGGTAGTTTTTTATTTTCATTTTTTTTACTCTAATAACAATATAAATAAAATTTTCAAAAAATAAATTAAACAATTAAAAAAAAAAGTCATATAAACTCAAATGGGTTGCTTGAATTCGTATTTCCTCCATGACAGCTCTCATACGTTCCATTGGAACTTTTGGTTCTCCGTCTTTTGATTTGCTTACTTTCCTTCTTGGTGGCATTCACCAGTCAAAATGAATTTGGCAGGTCAGACCAAATGATACTGACCCGCACCGCAAAAAATTAAGGATTAAAGACAAAGCATAAAATAGAAGAGAGAAATACTGCTATTCAATATTATTTGCAACATAAAGGGATATTCAGAAGGATAACAATTCCTATTGCCCATAGCTAGGATCCTCTAGAGTAACCACCCAACAGGTTCTCTTTTCTCTCTCCAAAAAAACCTCCTCCTCATTCTAACATTCCCTCCACCCACTTATAATTGATTCGCCCTCTTCCCAACCTTTACTTGCTCCCTTCTTGGACTAGTGGTTGACGAGGCCCACTAACTTTTTGGGCCTCATCAATTTCCAATCCTAGGAATTGATCAAGAATTCGAAGAACATAAAGATAGAGAGAACCTTTAAAAAGATTAAGTTTTGAATAATTAGAGATTTCCTAGACTATAGAAGCATTTTCTTGCAAGACATGAATGAATGAATCAATTAGTTACCCTTCTACTTAAAATTAACTAACCAAACTAATAGTTTTCCAACTATTGAATAACACGTGTACAAAGATCTCACCCTTCTCTATCTTATTTAATATTAATGTTCCTCCCTTAAAAATATCCTTGACCTCAAAGATCGAATGAAGGGTATTTTTGCCTCCAATCATAATAGAACTCCCAGGTTGCATCCTCCCAAAGATGATGTTTCCACTTGACCAAAACTTTGGTTACTGTTAAGGTTCCAACATAAAACCAATTGGCTATATGTGGAGTAGCCTAACATGTATTTAAACCATACCAAATGATATGAGGTAGGCGATGTGGGACTTTCAACACACCCCCTCCAACGAAGCCCGCCGGACCAGGCAAAGGGTACTTTTGACCCAACTAAAGGGAAACTTTTGGCCCATGACAATAACTGGAAAGATGTTAGGCTTTGGCTCTAATACCATGTTAAGGTTCCAACATAAAACCAATTGGCTATATGTGGAGTAGCCTAACATGTATTTAAACCATACCAAATGATATGAGGTAGGCGATGTGGGACTTTCAACAGTTACTATAACTCCTTTCCTGTTTAATGTCATTTGTCGAAAATGACCTTAGTTTCCCTTTCAGCAAGTGCTACCTCAGTTTGATAGGGTAGGTTGGTTGAAGTTACTGCATTTCCAATGTGTTTTAAGTTGTGTTACATGAAATACATCGTGGATTTTGGAATGATACAATAGCTTCAGTTTATAAGCTGCAACACCGATGAAATTAGTGGTTGTGTTGAGTACTTCGAACTCAATGTTGCTTCTGGGAGCCATGAAAACCTTGCCTATGTATATTTATGCTTGTTAGCCAACTACTTCATTGCCATATAGTGACTCTCGTCACTAGAGTACGGTAAGAAAAAACTAAGTTTCCCTTACTAATTAAATGTAGTATAGTGGTCAACTCAAGTCGGTACAAGAAAATTTAGTATATTGAGATTATTGTTTGCAGCAAAAGAATTGGGGGGTTTACGTTAAATATGAAACTACATGCTAAAAGCATGAAGATTAATGAAAACAAAGTTTAAAGGGCCAACAAACATAAAACTAAGAAGGATGAACATACATATGTGCAAATATAAAAAATACTAGCTAATGCAAACAAAGAAAAAGGAAAATCTAGACATAAAAAACAATTGAGCAATTGAAGAAGTGTAAAAGGAAAACTGAGCAATTGAAGAAAATCGAGCAACAAAAGAAAGGAAAATTGAGGGTACTAATTCTGGATGGATCGAAGAAATTCTCGATGAATTAGGAATTAACAGTCGATGAAGTGAAGAAAGTAATCCATGAAAGTAGTCTATGAATAAAAAAAGCAGTCTATTAATTGAAGAAGACAACATCGAAGTAAACAGGAAGTTGAAGAAAGCAGTAAATTAAAGAAAATAGGGAATTGAAGTAAACAGGAAGATTAATAAAAAAAGGGCAGTCTAAACAAGCAATCAATGAAAGCATTGAATTGAAGAAGGTAGTAAATCGAGGAAAACATAAAATCAAAGAAAGCAATGAAGTGAATAAAGTAAGGCAGTAAATAAAACAAGTACTGAAAGCAATAAATTGAAGAAAGCAGTAAATCGAAGAAAAAGTTAATTTAAAGCATTGAGGGGTACTCGATAAACAAATGAACACAACAAGCAAGACAAATCAATGATTATGTATCGAACAAAACAAAATAAAGGGAAACTAAAATAACACTCTAAGGTAGGGATGACAATTAAACTCGTACCCGTGGAGACCGACCCGTCCCCGCCCCGAGTTTAACAGGAAAAACCCGAGTTGACCGGGGGCGGGTTCGGGTTTTCCCCGCTTTAAAAAGTCGGGGTCGGGGGCGGGGATGAGTAATGCAATCCCCGACCCCGTCCCTGTCCCGACTTTATATTTAAATTTAAATTTTAAAATATTAATATTTTAAAAGTATTTTCTTTTCTTTTTCTATTACATATAAGGTCATTTTTTTTATATTTCACCAAATTTTTTTTCTTCTACCTACTTTTTAATTTTTTTGTGTTTTTTAATCTTTTTATATCAATTAATTTATTACATTATTTTTTCTCTTACCTTTCAGCTTTTTCACATTTTCTTAATCTCTTCCATCAATTTGTTTTTTTTTTTCAATCTTTTCAACCAATTTGATGAACACAAAGTTAATTTTTTTTATTCTTTATCTTTTTCTAAATATTTTACATAAATCTTAGTAGTAACTAATATTATTTTATGTATAATTTATATTTATTAGGTGTTATTATGTCATTTTTTAAATTTATTATTCTTATTTATCATATATCAAATTTTATCTTAATAAAATAATTATATTTTAAAGGAATTGATAATTTAAACTTTTATTACTTCGAACTAATTGAATAAGAATTAACTTATTAAATATTTTCTTATAAACTATATATTTCATATTTTTAAATGACAACTTAAAAATGAATTAACTTATATATATATATATATATATATATATATATATATATATAATCAAATGTTTGAATATAGTATTATAATAATAATGTTATAAATATTCAAATATTTGAATACAGTGTTATAATAATAATAATATTATGAATAAAAAATGATTAAATATTTCTTTTACATACATATTTTAATATAAATATAATAAATTAAAGTGTATATTTAATTAATAATAATTATAAATTATAAAATTATAAATATTTATTTATATATAAAAAATAGATAGTAAAATTAATTTATTATAAATGTAATTATCTTTTTAAAAATAATATAGATCCGGGACTGGGCGGGGTGGGGAACCCGAAACCCGAGTGGGGACGGGGATGGAGACTTAATTTCTAACCCCAGCGGGATCGGGGCGGGACGGGGAAGGTTAAAAAGGCGGGGCGGGTATCGGGAGGCAAAACCCGCCCCGCCCTGCCCCGATGCTATGCCTACTCTAAAGTAGGGGAAAACACATCGTAGTAATCAAATAACACTCAAACATTGCAAAACTTGAAAACAATTGAACTAACATTCACAGCTTGATTAAAAACAAGAATAGTGAAATAATTACAAATAAGTTGAACAGAGAATTAGTTGGCCCGATGAAACAATAACAACTATAAATTAAACTGAATAGCATAGACCAAACTATATAACGAGAATTAAAATGGGCGATGAACAAAATGAAGCAATGGAATAGTAAATAAAGTGTGTGTATGTTCATAAGCTAAAGACAAAACATGAAGAAAACTCTATACATTCTCAATCTCCCTCCATTACTCTCTATCCTATTGCTTCCTATATTCTAGGGTGCACTCTCTCGAAAAACGAGACTTTTTTTTTTACATTCTATGCTCTCTTATGTATAGAACTTTTCCCATACTAAAGAACATTCCTAATAGAATTCTAAAAAGTTGTGCCAACAAATCTTTGCACAATACTGCCAAATGGTGCATAACCTCCTTTCTGTTGTCGAACAACAAATTTTGTCGGGTCTGCCAAATAGTATGTAGCTTCCTTTCTTTTTGCATCTTATCAGTTGAGATGGCTTGTGTCCATAGTTGTTCTAATTTATCTTCTCATGGGCCATGATCTTGACACAGTCCAAAACACACAGAGGCTTCATCGATGCATTGTAAGTCCAACAAGGTACTTAAGTTAATTGGTCACTCATAGGCCCAACACATTGCCTTCATCTTCTCAATTGAGAGTGGCTCAATGCTCCAAAAATTGTGTTCTTGTACTAAACTTAAAGCGCACAAATTTAAGCTCAATTAGACATCTTAAGCCTCTTTCACCACATCTCTTAAATTTCCTAGGAATTGTAAAAAGCCAAGTTAACAATAAAAGATAAGACAAATGAAAATCCTAAGGGAGAGTTCCATTGGACACGAAGATAATCCCGAAGGTTATCTAAGTGTGAAGGTTCCCTTCTTATGGATTTCAAAGGGAGGGAAGATTGAAGTAAAAGTAAAGGAATGGAAACAATGAAGAGATTAGAGAAAGGGGATGGTAAATGAATGTTATCACACCACTTGGTGAGTAAAATCTACCAAGATAAGTGGGGAAGATGCCGCCACTTGAGTGGACTCAAGATAAGACATTCAAATTGGAATGATCCTCCTAAGCACAAGCCTCACGAAAATTGTTTAACAAAGTACGTATATTCCAACGAAAAACAAGAGGAGAGGTCTCCTTTTATGGGTTAGGGATATGGGGGAATTACATTGGAAAAGATCCTAAGCACATTCTACCCTAGATGCTCCTTCTAGAAACTAGGTCATAAAAAGGGCTGCACCCTTGTCTTGGAGACCAAGGGCGTGCTCCTACTTCTATTAGGTCAAAGGTGACCTCATTTGATGCCATGGGCCATCCCCAGCTAAAGGGCTAAGAGTCCAAAAAGGGTGGTAACATAAGACAAGAGGTGTCCAAGAGCAATCCTTGTGTTGGGTAATGAGTT